AAAMCGTTTTGCTTTTCAACTTCGTGTGAAACTTTTCAATGRGTTCAATTACATAACATTCTGGGAGTACATCTGTTGCCCTAGTTTGGTCTAACGGAATTCGATAATGTCATTATATAATAAATGACCTTGCGTGAAATTGCATGCAGAGCGCCCTTGTGACAAATAAAGTCATTGTCGTCAGCAGTTGATCAACTGACGTGATGCTATAGTACTGGGACCTTTTGTTATTCTTTTGCCATTGATGGATGCTCACGTCTTTCGACCGACCGTGTGAAACTACAAAKTACTACAAATCGACTYCACGTACAAGGAAAAGTTTGCGCCAGGGGTTACTTGGTTAACTTCCGTGCGGGATTATTCAAAAAGTTTGGTAAACTTCGTCTGAAGTTTAATCTTGTTTACGRACTAGCTACAAGAATTTATGTGGTTGCACAATGCCTTACAAATGTTTACATCAGATTTCTTAATCTCGAATTAACTGAGAAGACGTTACATCATGAACAAGAGTAAAAAAGCTGCAATAAGTCCATTACCCGAGAACCACTTAAGAAATATCCCAGGAAGCGATGGAAGCAAAWTTACCAAGATTTTCCACCTTTTGTCATTGCTGCGAGTGAGTATAAATATATCTAAAGATTTAGTTTTAATTGGTATTCTTTATTTGATTGAATTAAARTTATTTGTTTCTGGTGATATTTTTAACTTATTGTCGATAAATCAAGCGCTGTTCAKAGATTTGAGCGAGCGCAAACTAAATTTATGGTTCCTATGAACGATTGTCATCAGTCGAAGTAATATGCGAGTTGCTCATTTATCGCTATGTGCATTTTCTACCTTCTCTATTGTTGTATTGTTACAATTGAATAGAGTCTTCAGCACTTAAAAACTTTCATTGAGCAGCCATATGTTAAGAAAGCCAGTTGCCCTGATAGTTATAAAGGTTACCGTCATGTCGGCTTTCACTCATTTACATTTTCTGTTTACCTTGCGTAACATCTTCTACTAATGCCTCGACCTTCTCTCTCGACACACGTCTGACTTACAATAAATACAACACTTATAAAGGCTTTTGATTTATTTTATGCTGGAATTAAACAAGTGAGTGAGTTAGTGGAGCCTTTCAAAATCAATTAAGAAGCTTTTGCGCCTTTCATGGGGTTAAAACAACACAGAAATGTAAATTATAATAGTTTTAGATGTCACTACATAAACTTCTTGTTGTTTTTGCTCGTTTCTATGGCGCCTGCATCTTTGCATAGCATGAGGTTATTCTACAGCCAAAATAGCATCAAATCTCATTGTCAGTCGAGAACAAAAAGCTTTAGTTAAAATGCATTAAGCATTTAAATAAGCCTTAGGGAAAAAATAAAACAATTACTTGCAAAAGTTTTATTATATATGAGAAAACTTACACTCACACTTTGAATGTGGAGTATATTACACTTTAAGTCAATTGTCTTGAAACTCAAAGGTCTGTTTCTTTGCTGTGCTTTCTTAGGTTAGTTTTTAAGCGAGCCCAACTCACAAAACTTTGAGTAATCATCTATATATATACATGATAAAGTCGGATCAGATAATATGTGAAGTTTCCATGTCATATTTTTGTGAATCTATACTTTCCCTTGCGATAAACTTTTAATAATTCAAAATTAATTAAATCTTATTGCTGTGAATTCGAGACGGTTCGCGGATTAAAACGAACAATTAARGATATTGGACTTCGAATAATATGCGTAATCAAAATACAATTACATTGAAAGACAATCAATATATTTGGCAACAAAGAAAGTAATATAAAAAAATCAAAATTATTTAGAAAATGAAACTATTCATTCTTTTGCTTAGATGTAAAACTTTTCAATATTTCAGGACTGTTCAAAAAGAAGAATGTGTAGAATAGCTTAGAAAATCGATAATTAGTGATTTATAATATTTTAGTTATAACAATTAGACATGTATTAGTCCAATTGAAATAAAAATCAAATGTATTTTGTAATGTATAGCGTATTCCAAGACCGAAATGCATTGCTGCTATTGGATCCCCCCCGTAATACCGGAAAAAAACATTCAACTGATCGCGCAATATTGTTACTGTTCAAGCTTAGCGCCAAGTACTCTCTTTTCAGTGCCTGATTTTTGTTGTGCTAGAAACGTCGACTTCAAACTTGAACAGCAACAATGTTGCGAGACAAGAGAGATTTACAATTATTTGACTTGCACGTATCCATACGTGAACAAGTGCAACATTACTTTCAGTTTTCCCAGTTTCAGACTAATTGAAAAATGAAAATTATCAAACGTTTCCATATAATCCATAAAGTTTAACTCAGGCACTTTCTTACATAACTTCCACATATTCCAATATCTTTCATAGTTACACATTTTTGAACAACACTTTTCTGAATGTTTCTTTCTTTTTGTTTCAGCAAGGACAACGTTTCTTTGTAAACAAAGCAGAGAGATATAAAAGCACCGTATTCAGGATGAGCATTGGCGTTAAAGCCATCGCTRTATGCGACAGAAAAGGAGCTGATGTCCTATTTGACCTTGAGAAGGTATGTCCGCTTAATTTTTTGTTCTTATGCTACAAGTAATTTCTCTCAATGCTTACTCGAGACGAAATTTCCCGAACTGACGTTCTTCCGAAAAGTTGCCGAAGCCGTCGTTTGAGTCGGGAAATGTCATCGTCGCCGCTCGAGAGATAACAGCGAGAAAACAGAGATAACAGCGAAAGAGGCTTGGAGCAAGTCCCCAAAGCTCTGATAAATCACTGACAAGTTGGACGTTGGTCCTTAGACSTCAGAATAAAATAGAATGCTAGCAATGTGATTTGTTTATGCTCAKTGAAACTCGCAAATGTTGGTTTGCAAAACAATATCTAAGGCACTGTCGCGTTATCAGTCTAATTCTCACAACTACTTGTCTCAGCTCGCTACGCATGCGTAATAGTGTTCTGAAACAAGTTGCTGTAGAATAACAAGGATTTTCAAGAAAATGCGCTCGTAGAGTTCTTGCTTGCAAAATAGCGAGGAAAGTGGCTGGAGGGGTGATACACTTTGCTATATGGTTTCGTATATAAGTTACTGCACTGCTCTACTTCGCTACTTCGGGCGACGAAAGGACCCTTCTTCCACTGAACAATTCTTATAAGCACGTTGCTTCGAAAACCCATTGCCAAGTGGCGTAAAAAGTACACAGTGCAACAGCTTCTGTATAATAGTACTAACGTTATGCTTCACTTTTTCCCTGATTGATAAATTGCTTTTCTTCTTTCACATTCAGATYCATAAGGAACCAAAGTTTGGTCGACTGAACTACAACGTCTGCTTAGTTGATAACAAAACCCCCTCGATCTTCACGAATGGYAGCCAACACGAATCACAGAAAGCGTTTTTGATGAAAGTTTGTCAAATAGCACAAAATGCAGACATACTAGATACTGTGAATAAGATTATTCCTGAATACCTAGAAAGATGGCATAGAGCAGGTAATGRCACGAGATAACAAGCATTRTTGTGRGCTGCTTCGGTTAACTTCGGAGTTGCGTCGGTGTTACATCGGAGCTGCGTCGGCATTGCATCAGAGCTGCTTTGGGGAAACACAAGAGCTGCTTTAGTGTAACATCGGAGCTGCGTCGGAGTAACATCGGAGCTGCGTCGGAGTAACATCGGAGCTGCGTCGGAGTAACATCGGAGCTGCGTCGGAGCAACATCGGAGCTGCTTCGGTGTTAAATCGGAGCTGCTTCGGTGCGATAGAAGGATAAACTTTACGAGTACAAAAAGGAAATGATTTGATAAATGAGTAATATAAAATCTCATTCCCAAGCTTATTTCTAGACATAGCTGACATAGATCGTTTTGTTTCAGATGGTAAACTCAAAGCCTCATGGGAAAACGACGTCATGGCCCTTGTTAGTGACATCTTCAGTCAGGCGTTCCTCGGGGTAAGATTCGACCCGAGCGCAATGCATGATATGGTGTATGCTTCCTGGACCAGGAAAAAGTAAGTCTTCGTGCATGGGTCTGCAGGTCMTTTTGGGTAATTTCTATCAATCGTTCTTTATGTGTTTATAGTTGGGAATTGGTACGTGGAATGGTTGCATCGAACAGAATGATGGAAACGTTGAAACAAAGCCCAAAGCTTAACGACATTCTTGAAATATCGAGAGAAAATGGACTATCAGATGAACAGACTGTGGCAGACGTTCTCTTTATGCTGAAGTAAGTCATATCAAAACATCTTTTGTGTATGCCATGTCAGTCGTACCAATGGACGCATTTTCCTTATGTGAAAGTGAATTTATTTGTTAATTGGATGACTGATCGATTCACTGAGTGACTAATTGATTTGATTGATTGATTGGTTGATTGACTGATCTTGCTGACTTGCCGTTGATCCATTGATTAAATCTCATAATTTCATGTAATTTCCTTAGTGTAATGACATCCGTTTCAGTTGGTTGATTGATTGGTGGATTGATTGATTGATTGATTGATTGATTGATGATTGATTGATTGATTCTAATGTCAAATGTTTCAGTTTCAACGGCTACGGTGCGGTCAGCGGTGCACTGCGTTCAGCTCTGGCCAGGTTCCATAATGCCGACCAAAAACTAAAACAGGAACTTAACGAAGACATAGTTAACAACCTTGGCGACGATGGMGTCACRCATGAATCAATTAAGAAAATGAAATTACTTGATCGATTTATACTAGAAGTGAGTACAAAGAAGTTGAAGAAAATTGTGTCCCGATTATCCTTCAAAATGACATTTTCTACGACTTTCACTAATGTAAAACAGTTTTTCTGGCAAGGTTTTTTTTCTTGTTGAGCTTAGCCGAGCATAATAGGCGGAACTCTGTCGCAACAACTTATGACGCAACTGCACAGGGTATCACACCAACAGAAACTTTCCTGCACGCATTTCATGAGCGCATGCACAAATTCTCGCTACAGCCGCTGATCACACTGCTCAATACTCCAGCAACTAAGTTACTGAGATAATTGAACAAGAGCAGCATCGTCTTAACTCGATTCTACCTCAAACCATTCTTWTTGGATTAGGTCAAACATTAAACATTTTTCGCCTCGTAGAAACTTTTCTTACATCCCCGGTAACCCAGGGGATTTTCGCCTGTCGAAAATCCCCCTGCAGGCACTCAAAGGATGCGTTTCTCATAATTCAATGTTTGTTTTAGGTTTTTCGTATGGAACCTCCTGTGCCGTTACTTTTTGGAAGGGCTAAGTATGTAAAAGCACATTAAACTAGATAATAACAAACTTATATCAAAGTTAAAAACAGAGAATACCATCCTCGAGTTTAAAAGCGACATATCGTAATGTAATGCGAAAGGAAAGGAGAAAATCAATTGATAGAAAAAATTCACCATACTTCTCTAAACAGATTCGCTATTGCAATTGTTTAGCACATGTATATACTTATGTTGAAAGTTATTTTTGTTTTTCAGTTCCGATTTTATACTGCARTCCAAATCAGGTTCTTTTGAAGTCAAAACCGACGAACTTCTCATTGCTAATGTTTATATGATTCAACGTGATCCATCTGTATTCACAAATCCTGATAGCTTCATACCGTCAAGATTTGAAGACGAGGTGAATACGCAAATCTACCTCAATAAATATGCAATGTACAGAAACGCCATTTTGTTCAAACAAATCTTAATGGGAGCTGTAGTTCGCGTCCTTTTTTATTGCCGCTAAAACATTCCTCCTGAGCCATTTTTTCTTTTCCTCCACAATATTAGAAGCAGTTGTGCCATTTCTACAGAGAAAACATAAACAACTTTTGGGGAGATTTTTTATGGGCTGTAAAAATTGCGAGGACTACAACTTCCCTCATGCTACGTTACACAAAATGGCGCCGCTGCAATATTAGATTCATATTGTAAACGCAATGCCACTAAACCATTGCCGCGACCGAATCTGTATATAAAAGAGGCTTACCCTAATGATTTGTATTTTGTTCTTAAACATAATATTTGATCATTAATTTTTAGCAAAATATGCTTTACCTAATATTTRAAGTGGATTGTCTTTCATTGCATTCACAATACAGTTAAGAAAGCTTTGTAAATCGCACAAAACACTGATGAATAAAAAATCAGTTTGCATGCGGATTGAACTTACTTAATTATAAACCCTTTATATCATCGCTATCATTAAGATATAAGAATATTAAGTAGTTTTTCTATTCTTTTAGAGTCTTCTTGAACACATGATTTTTACCAATGGACCATTCAAACAAGAAGCGACACCACAAAACCACCATTGTGCTGGGAAGGTACGTCGTTTTCACCAGTATACAGCTATTTCAAAAAAAGTTGTCGGGGAGAACGGCAAATGACGATTGTCGAAGGGAGATTGCACGACCGAAAGCGACTATGGTTACACTGTTTTGATAAACAAAATTTCACCTATTGGATTCACCTTACATAGTAATTGAGACTAAATGGAGCCAATGTTTATCACAGACCATCTTACAGTATAAATCAGTTGTTATTTCATTTCACCAAGCGAAACCCATGACCACTTTCGGTCGTGCAATCGCCGTTTGACAATTGACATTCRCCATTTTATCCAACAACCTTTTTTGAAATAGCTATATATGCTGATTGGCTGATAGAATGAGTGTCAATAATACATCATTTAGACACAGTACAAACGCTCAGTTGTGAAAGAAAAAATAATGGTTAGTTCCGCATTTTTCAGTTAGGAATTTTCAAAACTAAACTTTGTCTTTCATTTTCTTTTCAGGAAATCATTTTTACCGTCATGAAAGCAGTTTTGATACCAGTAATTTTGAGCTGTAGTTTCACCTTCACACAAACTCCATAYTGGACGGGTAAAAAGTACGTACCAAGAAAATGACAACCCTATTAGACTAAAAAGAACTATAGTCCATTAAATTAGACGTGCTTTTAAGATAAGTCATGCCCAAGCCGCATGCGTTTTCACTCTCTGTTATAAACACGCGGACTTATTGGGAGAACACGAGAAAGTTTTTGAATGACGAGAAAATATCTTCTATAAAATGCTAACACAACTMTTCGCTTGAAAGGCTCACAGAAACACGTTTTTTTTTTTGACATTTCCACCAATCAATGCGCGCGTTATATAAGTGATATATAATCTTCCACCAATCAATGCGCACGTTGTATAAGCGATATATGACCTTCCACCAATCAATGCGTGAGTTATATAATTGATACTTTATAACCACGAATTAATCATCTATGTCTTKGACTGAATTTAGATTACGAAGGATTGGCTGCCCTGACAACAAACTGGAATTAAAAGAATTCATGTTCACTCCGGTAAAAAACAAGCTTTCACTTAGAGTTAAATTTGTTTTTTTAATGCTTTACCCTCTCACTTCTTTTTTCGTATTACTTTAGAGAGAGGGATTTACAAAAAGAGARGATTTACAAGTTGAAGACATAAGCTGAATGATGTAATAAGTAAACTCCGACACCGCCCAGCAATGTAGAACGACGCCATTTTGTAAAGCAAAGGATGCAGGGAAATATACTCCCCGCACTTAATATGGATAATAAACAAAAGAAAGAAAGAAAAGAAAGACAATAGAAAAACATTGTACAATAACATACCCAGTCATATATAATGTAAAAATCAGGTTAATGATCAAAATAATTCAGCTTTAGTAAATATTAGCCATGGATAAGCAATGGCAATATTTCAACAAACTACCATTTAAATCACCAAAATCTAGGATCAATAACTATTTTATCTAGTCCAAAAATATTGAAAAAATTAAGATTCAATTACCCACAAATGCATAGCTATTGAGGAACATAAATAACCTTTTATCATTATAACAAAAAAGTCAATAATAAAAATTGTAAGCGCCACCACTGCAAGTTTGTTTTGTGAGTTTTTATGCTACATTAACCCTAACCCTGTTCCCGAGGTCAAAGCCTGCACCACATAAAGTAAGGTAGTACAATTTAGATTGCACATTGCCCTCCATTAAATGACAGACATAGCAGCTAACGCTAGACAATTTAAATAAATATGCCTGTTTACTATACAATATTAGAAGTGGAAAAAAGGGGGGGGAGGTCTCTGGTATATTTCACAATATCCCTTCAAATCTGAAGATTTTTGTGGTTGAATTTTACTTTTTCTCTTTGCCAAATGCAGAGAGGAAGCTGTGATATATATATATATCTATACATCACCAAC